ATCAAAGGAAAAAGAATCTAACATAGTGATGTAATCTATCATAAGGGCAGAATCTAACATTGTGACGTTATCTATCATAAGGGGAATAATCTAACATTGTCACGTGATCTAAAGGGGAAGAATCTAATCTTGTGACGTGATCTATCATAAGGGGACGAATCTAGCCTTGTGATGTGATCTTTCTTAAGGGGAAGAATCTCACACTGTGAAGACATCTATCAAGGGTGCAATCGGAACAGGGTTTGGAATCTGCCCCAAGCCTCTCATTAAACACTCCACGCTCTCTTATCTTGTGATTTTGTCCTTTGAACGTGAGAAGGTTTTTTTATTATTTTGTTGATAAAGTCATTATATGTTTGTATATTTCAAGACCAGGAAAGAAACGTTTAAAATGTAAAGTTAAATGTTTCTTTTGTCCTTTGTTGTTTTAGGACTTAATTTAAAAAATACAAGTGTTTCTATATCATTTAGTTAATAATTACCTGGTGCAAGGCCTTGGGGGAAAAAAAGGGGGGGTTGGGTGTTGCGGGGAGTCTGGAAAAATAAAAGGTGGGCTCGCACCATGAGTTCACGGCACCGGGCGACACAAACCTAGTGACGCCGTTGATAGTGAGTCGTATAAAAGTGACGACTTGACTCCTGGCGTAGTATTGACTGCGTCATAGACACGATCTGTTTCTATAAGGGGGGACGGATCTTCTCCCAGGATACGCCACGGCTACAGACCAGTGTCTCATAATGTGGCAACGCTGCATGGGCGTAGACTTCCTTCATGGGTAAAAAAATGAATAAATGAGTAGGCATATCATTTGATCAAAGTTTAGTAAACATTCTCCCCCCCCCCCCATTTCGTTGATCGAGGATGTTAATCAGTCTGTTGTGTCCCTATTTAAACAATTTTGTTTATAGGCAATCAGATAATTCCCGTTAAAATATGGTAGCCAAAATCGGTGCCGATAGATACACTACCTAGTGACGTATAGTGTTGGTGCCGCCATGGGCGGGCCAAGACTATTCAGTTGTCCGAAAATGCAGCCCTTCACTATAAAGAAAAAGTGACACCCCACCCGCTACCCTTTCTACGTCGACGACATCGGTGTAGCTAAGAGTGTTTAGCACCTGAGTAACAAGCTTCATTTTAATGCCTCCCCTTTTAACGCTGAATCCAATTATTTTCATCCATTTAATAACATTAAAGTCCTTTGGCGCCCCGCTAGTCTGACGCCCGGGGACGTCTGTCCCCCTCAGCCCCCCTCCCTTAGCTACGTCTCTTGCAACTGGTACTGCCCCCACCTCCCCGGAAGAAACTGTCTGAAAGAAACATTGCCCCTTACACTCTTATTAACCACAAATCCAATTTGCAATGAATTAAATAATTGATGTATTTTAATTAGTCAGAATGAATTCAAGGACTGACGGACTTAAATTAATTTCCTTGATTTTATAATGTACTTACACAAACTAATAATATTTTAAAAGCTGCAACTAATTGTCTGTACCTGGAAATCAAAAACTCTCAGATATTGGTTATATTCGTAAAAACCACCTACTACTTATGATCCTATTTAGGAGAGTGCATTTGATGCTACCATGAAAGATGTTTTTATACAACATAGCTAGCAAATGTCATTCCATAAACTATGAAGTATTTCCTCAAATTGATTGAAAACTTAACTTTTTTTTGTTTCACTTTGTTATACCAATTCTTCTGGTAATTAAAGGCACTAAAATATGCAGACGCAGCTATTTAGTTACTGATTGAAAAAAAAAACAAAAACAAAAAAACAAAAACAGGCAAATTTTGTTCCATAGTGAAATTTTTATTTCCAAATTGTAAAGTGACTTCAATAAAACATCAATGATAAGTGATAACTTTGGTAGAGAAGAAGTATTTCCAAGGCAAAATTGGCATCTGTTGTTGTTATAGATGGAAGCTTAGCATGTCAACTATTTACACATAACATGTCAACTAGTTACACATAACATGTCAACTAGTTACACATAAAATGTCAACTAATTATACATAACATGTCAACTAGTTACACATAATATGACAACTAGTTATGCATAACATGTCAACCAGTTACACATAACATGTCAACTAATTATACATAACATGTGAACCAGCTACACATAACATGTAAACTAGTTATATATAACATGTCAACTAGTTACACATAATATGAGAACTAGTTATACATAACATGTCAACTAGTTACACATAACATGTCAACTAGTTACACATAATATGACAACCAGTTATGCATAACATGTCAACCAGCTACACATAACATGTCAACTAGTTACGCATAATATGACAACTAGTTATGCATAACATGTCAACCAGTTACACATAACATGTCAACCAGTTAAACATAACACGTCAACTAGTTACACATAACATGTCAACTAGTTACACATAATATGACAACTAGTTATGCATAACATGTCAACCAGTTACACAACTAGTTATGCATAACATGTCAACCAGTTACACATAACATGTCAACCAGTTACACATAACATGTCAACCAGTTACACATAACATGTCAACCAGTTACACATAACATGTCAACCAGTTACACATAACATGTCAACCAGTTACACACGGACATAAAGAAGACTCTACGTTGACAGAAAGTTAAGTCAATTTAAGTGCATAGTTTATGTAGCAAGTTGTATAAGTTAAGTGAAGTCAAAACACATCATAATACAAGGACAGATGTATCAAGACTTTTACTTTTTTTAAATTGATGTTTTCTCCACTTTGTTCCATTCAGCTGTACAACAAATAAATTTGTTCGCTTCAGCTGTACAGCCATTTACACGTTACAATAACTTTATTTTGTTCTGCCAACCTGTGTCTGTGTTCATTGCTAAAATAGATTAAATATGTTTGCCCATCATTTAGAGTTGCATAAATAAATTATTAAAAGAACAGCCCCAACACCCACAGCATATTAACTAATACCATGACTGCACAGTCTGACTTATGCAAGCAGTCACAGTCTGACTTATGCAAGCAGTCACAGTCTGACTTATGCAAGCAGTCACGGCCAATGCTGAGATTGCAGTTTTAATACTGATTAACTATAATAGTGTTATTTTGTGAAACTTTGTTAACATTGGCAACTCCTGCATTGTGTTTCTTATATGCAGCAGTCTCTGCAGCCCTTATGTGGAGTACAACGAGAGCTGTAGTGCACACATTCAATATTCAGAATAAGAACCAACCAGATTGATATTCTGTTCCTTGCTAAACATTAATAAAAATAGAACCCCCCAAAAAAGTGCAACTTGAAGAAAATTTGACATTGAAATAAATGACAGTTTTGCATTGTAAGGGCAGATAACACATGAATCATTATTTTTAAGGGTGTTTAAAAAAAAAAAAATAAAGACATCCACATTTTAAGAAATACTTGTACATTTAGAATTGATTACTCAACAGTAATTCTTATGCTAATAAAGCAGCTGTTCTCAACCTGAAGGTGGCAGCCGCTTTGGGGGGTCGAACAACCCTTACACAGGGGTCGCCTAAGACCATCAGAAAACACATACCGGTATTTATGAAGTAGAAACGAAAATCATTTTATTGTTGGGGGTTACCACAACATGAAGAAGTGTATTAAAGGGTCTCAGCATTAGAAAGGTTGAGAACCCTTGTCCTAAAGTAATAAATTAAAATTTTATCCCCCAAAAAAAATATAAAAAATTAGTTACGCAAATGTATCTTTCATGCTGGCTTAACTGGCAGTGATATCTACACCATGTTTTTTGTCAAAGCAGAGTCACCAACAACTTCCAATTATGAAGTAGTCATTGAAAAATATACCTATTATATGTTTTATACAAGTTTTTTTTTTTTAGACCTAGTGATATGAACATTTGTGGCTTAGGTTAGGAAACCCTGTATACATTCCATTTTAGTGAAACTGATAGATACCCAATGGAAAATACCCAATGGAAAATTTCAATAATACATTACAGGACACCGCCATTTGACATAAAACTGTTTTAACCGTGTGTTTTAAAGGAAAATCAATATATATAAATGTATATATATATATATTTATATCTAAATTTAAGTAAGGCACAAATAAAATAAATAATTCAACAACCCATAATAATGTGATACAAATATATAATAATTTATAGAAGGTAGTAAATGGAAGACCAAGTGCTAGAATATATTATACATTTAAACCATGTACCAGCCACGGCCATTACTTCAAGAATAAACAGAGATTGGAACAATCAACTTATTGACATTAATTTTTGGTAATTTCTGCATTTACAAATTCATCTCAAGATAGGAATTGAAACTCACTGAATAATCATATTTAAAGACAATTCGGTATCTGTTACGGTTATATCAATACATAATTTATTGTATTTTGACTGACATCCTGCGCTTAGTACCTTAGAGAATTAAGGTTTGATTACTTTGATGATGACATGCACAGTAACTTAAGCGGAATGACATTCATCCTCTGGAGCGGCACCAGTGAAAGATTAGACACTAGAGCTACAGGAATAATCAGTTATGGTTCAAAAGCTCCTGGTTCACCAGAACACCATTCCACCTCAGGTACGACAACATCACAAATCACAAACATCTGTCTCCACATAGTATTTTGGATTACAGGAACACAACTCCACACATCCCCAACATATTATGACTTAAAAATATCTGACTTGACAATCCATATGAATCACTTATAGGTAAATGCTTAGTTGCAATTTAAATATGAGTTTGCCAAACAGCGAAGACTTAGATCACACCCAGCATTATGCTTATGATATGTGGATGAGCAAATTTATTATTTCACATAAAAACAGAGCGTTTCATTATTCATACAACCAAGGTACAGTGCAACATTTATATGTGGATTTATTCATACAACCAAGGTACAGTGCAATATTTATATGTGGATTTATTCATACAACCAAGGTACAGTGCAACATTTATATGTGGATTTATTCATACAACCAAGGTACAGTGCAACATTTATATGTGGATTTATTCATACAACCAAGGTACAGTGCAACATTTATATGTGGATTTATTCATACAACCAAGGTACAGTGCAACATTTATATGTTGATTTATTTATAACTGTCTCATTTTATTTAGCATAAAGGATTTGGGACCGAAAAAAAAAATTATGATTATGGGTGAGGAAATGTTTGCCAACTAATTCGTTGCTCCTCAATGTAAACATTCAGTAAAATGATGGATCATTGATTGCAAATTAAATAAAGCTAACAGTTGAAGAGCTGGTACATTAGAATTACATGTTACGCAAATAGGCCTTAAGTTTCTTTTCAAAATTACGGAAAAACGGCCCAACATTCTGATTTGACTAAACAAACTTAAAACAATGATATAGATATGTAAGATTTTTTAAAAAAATATACACCAACAACATAGTAATCGTAAGTTAAAAATAGAATCCCAAGACTCTCATTGGCTTGGTTCCAATTACACAGAAAAGCATAGGCCCATTACATAAATTTGCAATACAGTAACGAAAATGTATAATAAAATGTTTAAAAGCATGGCAAACAACTTGAAAGAACTTCAGATATTATGTAATGAAGATAGATCAGTGGTTCCCAGCATATATGCAGATACAACCCTAATTCCTGCAACTCATCAGATCTGCTACTTTCTGCTTCACAACTACAATTGAGGACAAAAAAAAAGGATGTTTCAATTTTAATCAAAGTTTAAGTTACACAAACCTCAAACAAACAGCTTGGGAAACCAAATGGGAACCACTGTGCTAGAGATGTCTTGGAAATGCTGTGCTAGAGATGTCTAGGAACCACTGTGCTAGAGATGTCTGGAAAACACTGTGCTAGAGATGTCCGGGAAACACTGTGCTAGAGATGTCTAGAAAATACTGTGCTAGAGATGTCTGGGAAACACTGTGCTAGAGATTTCTGGGAAACACTGTGCTAGAGATGTCTAGAAAATACTGTGCTAGAGATGTTTGGGAAACACTGTGCTAGAGATGTCTAAGAACCACTGAGCTAGAGATGTCTGGAAAACACTGTGCTAGAGATGTCTGGAAAACACTGTGCTAGAGATGTCTGGAAAACACTGTGCTAGAGATTTCTGGGAAACACTGTGCTAGAGATGACTAGAAAATACTGGGCTAGAGATGTCTGGAAAACACTGTGCTAGAGATTTCTGGGAAACACTGTGCTAGAGATGTCTGGAAAACACTGTGCTAGAGATTTCTGGGAAACACTGTGCTAGACATGTCTAGGAACCACTGTGCTAGAGATGTCTGGAAAACACTGTGCTAGAGATGTCTGGAAACCACTGTGCTAGAGATGTCTGGAAACCACTGTGCTAGAGATGTCTGGAAAACACTGTGCTAGAGATGTCTGGAAAACACTGTGCTAGAGATGTCTGGGAAATACTGTGCTAGAGATGTCTGGGAAACACTGTGCTACAGATTTCTTTATCTAATTTAAGTTTTGACATCAAGAAAAACTTTTCAGGACAGACTTTAACATTTTTTAAGAATCACAGCAGTCCCAGCAAGTTGTCTACCCTAGCTAGCTGGCTAGTAGTTCTACCCAAAGCTATCTGTCTATTCGCTACACCCTAGCTAGCTAGCTAGTAGCTCTAGCCAAAGCTATCTATCTATTTTGTTCTACTCTGGCTAGAAAGTTGCTATACCCTAGCTGGGCAGCACTGACTGTGTTTCTGAGGTGTCTCCCTCGTCTTGGACAGTGACCTTTCGTCTAATCCACAGGAAGCAGAGAATGAACAACGGCAGAGCTACCACTATCGACAAGCCCGCCATAATGTAAGATATAATGAGGAAAGACCTGTCAACACTGTCAGACTTCTTGTAGGCACACTCGGAGAAGTTCTCTGGTTGGGGATAAATAGAGAAAGAGATTAGATCAACTGTTACAACACAGAGATTAGATCATCTGTAACAACACAGAGATTAGATCCAGAGTAACAACACAGACATTAGATCAACTGTAACAAAACAGAGACTAGATCAAGTCTAATAACACAGAGATTAGATCAAGTCTAACAACACAGAGATTAATTCAAGTGTAACAACGCAGAGATTAGATCAAGTGTAACAAAGCAGAGATTAGATCAAGTGTAACAACGCAGAGATCAGATCAAGTGTAACAACGCAGAGATTAGATCAAGTGTAACAACACAGAGATTAGATCAAGTGTAACAACACAGAGATTAGATCAAGTCTAACAACACAGAGATTAGATCAAGTGTAACAACGCAGAGATTAGATCAACTGTAACAACGCAGAGATTAGATCAAGTGTAACAACACAGAGATTAGATCAAGTGTAACAAGGCAGAGATTAGATCAAGTGTAACAATGCAGAGGGCAAAGCTTTGATTTTACTATATAATTAAAATTACATTGAATCATACTAATGTAACATTATACAGGTAAACAAACTTGGTACATTGACTGATACTAATCTAACATTACACAAGTAAACATGAACAATGTTTTGTGCTTAAATATAAAAAAATGGCAATGGCTAAATAAAAAAAAAGGGTTAAATTTAGACTTAATATGATAGATATAAAAAATAGTTAACCACTCAACTGTTAGAATAAAATGGCCCGTGAATGGTAATGTCAAGAACTGGGTTTTTGGGGTTAGGCAAGGGACATGTTGTCTGACCAAACCCAATGCGAGATGAATTGCGATCAAATACAACATAGAAAGCCTCCATCAGCACGGCTCCTAGAACTGTGCCGGAACTGGAGGAAGAAAATCCAAACTTGACACAGGATTGCAGCATCAAATCTGCCATATCTGTTTGCACTGGTCGAAGATAATGCTGAAATAAATTAAAGTTTAAAAAAAACAAAACAATAAATACAAAAAATAAAGTAAGTTCTCGACTGCTATTTTCTTAAAAATACCAACTTGACTGTCCAACTTGACAAGACGACAAACTCATTTTGTATAATGTCTCATGGCTTACAACTTAACTAACTCTTTGTTTATCTTACAAATTAACTAAAACTCAAAGCCTGGACTCTATGGCTAACAGGGAAGCTACACGTCATGAGAATTTATTCTAACCAGCTGCTGTCGTTAGTGTGTGGTTATACCTGAGGCGACAGATCCAGTTGAAAGGAAGAGTTCTCCGATGCATAAAGTGAAAAAGATACAATGGGAAAAGAGCTGAAGAAGTCTGCGACGTTTTGGAGGCACAAAACATCAATGCCATTGTAGAAAGATGCTCCCACAAAGTTATCAAGTCCATTTGTCTGAAACAAGAATTTGAATTGTAAAAATTACCATTGCTTTACGTATTAATATTTAATACTTATTTAATGCTTATTAAAATCTGGAACTCAAGATAAAAAGGAGAAAGACAATAATTAGAATTTGTGTTGGTCTGTTCTTTGATGGAACTATTTTGAAAGAACTTTGGCAGCCTTGTTTGTGCCCATTGAAGGTGGACAAAAGAAACTGGCTGTTGTGAATAAAGTTAGTTTCACACTATAGAGCTGTGGAACACAAAAATCTCAGCTCGACATCACAGAAAGCTGAGAATCCCAAAAACAAACTGCAGTGTAAACATGCTTAAATACATACTAATGAATTATACCATTAAGCAAATAAGGGTTCAAATATTCATGTACTGGAATGTTAAGGGCATAGGGATAGAGATTGTCTGCTTGTATGTGGGGTTAAAGTACTCAACTGTTCATGCAGTACTGGAATGTTAAGGACATAGGGCTACAGATTGTCGGCTTCAATGTGGGGTTAAAGTACTCAACAGTTCATCCAGTACTGGAATGTTAAGGGTATAGGGCTACAGATTGTCTGCTTGAATGTGGGGTTAAAGTACTCAACAGTTCATCCAGTACTGGAATGTTAAGGGTATAGGGCCAGAGATTGTCTGCTTGAATGTGGGGTTAAAGTACTCAACAGTTCATCCAGTACTGGAATGGTAAGGACATAGGGCCAGAGATTGTCTGCTTCAATGTGGGGTTAAAGTACTCAACAGTTCATCCAGTACTGGAATGTTAAGGGTATAGGGATAGAGATTGTCTGCTTGAATGTGGGGTTAAAGTACTCAACAGTTCATCCAGTACTGGAATGGTAAGGACATAGGGCTACAGATTGTCAGCTTCAATGTGGAGTTAAAGTACTCAACAGTTCATCCAGTACTGGAATGTTAAGGGTATAGGGCCAGAGATTGTCTGCTTGAATGTGGGGTTAAAGTACTCAACAGTTCATCCAGTACTGGAATGGTAAGGACATAGGGCCAGAGATTGTCTGCTTCAATGTGGGGTTAAAGTACTCAACTGTTCATCCAGTACTGGAATGTGAAGGGTGTAGGGCCAGAGATTGTCTGCTTGAATGTGGGGTTAAAGTACTCAACTGTTCATCCAGTACTGGAATGTTAAGGGTATAGGGCCAGAGATTGTTTGCTTGAATGTGGGGTTAAAGTACTCAACAGTTCATCCAGTACTGGAATGTTAAGGGTATAGGGCCAGAGATTGTCTGCTTGAATGTGGGGTTAAAGTACTCAACTGTTCATCCTGTACTGGAATGTGAAGGGTATACGGCCAGAGATTGTCTGCTTGAATGTGGGGTTAAAGTACTCAACTTTTCATCCAGTACTGGAATGTGAAGGGTATAGGGCCAGAGATTGTCTGCTTCAATGTGGGGTTAAAGTACTCAACAGTTCATCCAGTACTGGAATGTTAAGGGTATAAGGCCAGAGATTGTCTGCTTCAATGTGGGGTTAAAGTACTCAACAGTTCATCCAGTACTGGAATGGTAAGGACATAGGGCTACAGATTGTCGGCTTCAATGTGGGGTTAAAGTACTCAACAGTTCATCCAGTACTGGAATGTTAAGGGTATAGGGCCAGAGATTGTCTGCTTGAATGTGGGGTTAAAGTACTCAACTGATCATCCAGTACTGGAATGTGAAGGGTATAGGGCCAGAGATTGTCTGCTTGAATGTGGGGTTAAAGTACTCAACTGTTCATGCAGTACTGGAGTGTTAAGGAGATAGGGCTACAGATTGTCGGCTTCAATGTGGGGTTTAAGTACTCAACAGTTCATCCAGTACTGGAATGGTAAGGACATAGGGCTACAGATTGTCGGCTTCAATGTGGGGTTAAAGTACTCAACAGTTCATCCAGTACTGGAATGGTAAGGACATAGGGCTACAGATTGTCTGCTTCAATGTGAGGTTAAAGTACTCAACAGTTCATCCAGTACTGGAATGGTAAGGACATAGGGCTACAGATTGTCGGCTTCAATGTGGGGTTAAAGTACTCAACTGTTCATCCAGTACTGGAATGGTAAGGACATAGGGCTACAGATTGTCGGCTTCAATGTGGGGTTAAAGTACTCAACAGTTCATCCAGTACTGGAATGTTAAGGGTATAGGGCCAGAGATTGTCTGCTTGAATGTGGGGTTAAAGTACTCAACTGTTCATCCAGTACTGGAATGTGAAGGGTATACGGCCAGAGATTGTCTGCTTGAATGTGGGGTTAAAGTACTCAACTGTTCATCCAGTACTGGAATGTGAAGGGTATACGGCCAGAGATTGTCTGCTTGAATGTGGGGTTAAAGTACTCAACTGTTCATGCAGTACTGGAATGTTAAGGACATAGGGCTACAGATTGTCTGCCTGAATTGGGAAAGGGGGGGGGGGATGTAAAACAATTTAATGAGTAAATGAGGACATTAATGTGACTATGTCTTCCACCGACACATGCACTACTTGATGGCTAAATATATTAGGAACGCTGCTGCAACTATCAACATTCATTTACCTCTATATGTTGGCCTATGGCATCAACAACAGCTTGAAACACTTTTGTTGGGAGTCTTATGTTTGTTGTTCCAGAATCAACAATAGTCTTATCAAAATTGAACTGGAAAATGGAGAAAAAAAATTAACATTAGATCCTCAACAAAGCTAGGTTTAGAAAGTAGAGTTTGAACTAAGTGCATGTCTCTTTATTTGGAGAGAATGATTTTTGAGATGATGTTTTCTTCTAAACAAATTTTTTTTTCAATTTAATTGATTAAAAAACTAAGATAAAAATAAAAATCCTCTACCACAAACATCTTCTACATACTTCCTTGCATTTCATTTTGAGAGATTTTCCAGAGACCTTGATGTCAGTCAGCACCACCTCATAATACCATTGCTTGATAATTGGTGTGTAGAGTATTGGACCTCTGGACAGAGATTCTATTACACCACCGAAAATCTGGAACAAAAAACAAAAAAAAAAGCATCATTCACTTTTAAGCTGAGATTGTATTTCTGTTAAGTCGTATGCAATAACTCTCTTAGATAAACTTCTACCTTATAAATGAATACGTACATTTAAAAAAAAAATAATTTTTCAACAATTTTATTTAAGAACTAGGGAATCCTCAGGCCCTGTTAAAAATATTCATTTAATAATGCATTAGTGGGAAGTACATTAATTTCTGTCACATGATCTGACCAAATGTTTTAAAATGTAACATCAACATTAGTGTCTACTGTTAAATTTGGAAAACCAAAGGATTATGTCGATGGTGTCAAAATTCTGTTTATACTAGATTGGTTAATTCATCAAATTCTTTTACATGTTGTAAATATGTCAAACTAGCATTGAATCAACTCAAGTCCTTTTTCTTAATTAATGCAACTTTATTATCTAATTAACTTCACAGACTGTTAATTCCATATATAATTCCTTGCGCAAATGGGGACATTATCAATAATAATATTATAAACCAACTATAGCACGCCAAACAATTGCAGCCGCAATGCTCAAACTTCCCATCTACTCAATTTACTTAAACAAAACATGCATTGAAGTGAATGAAATTTATTTAATTAGTACAACCCTCCCCCTCCCCTGTATGTCCCCTCCCCTGTATGTCCACTCCCCTGTATGTCACCGCCACTGAACGATCTTGATACTCTAATGTCCAAACCGCCTTTTACACAACAGATTTATTACAACAACTATTTCCGTAAAACAAAAGAAAATATTATGCACCAAATGCACTTGTGTTATATTTAAGGATCTCATTTAGCTATCCGGAATTTATTTAGAAAAACCATTTCCATCTGGTAGGGGCAGTGACATTGTTTCTAGAGAATGATGCATTTTGATAGAGACCTCTATATAAAAGTTACCTGACAAGCATACATTTTTCAAGGATTCATTTCAAGACTGGGATCACTGTTAAAATAAAACAAACAAAACCTCTTACATAGATCAGTGGTTCCCAACCTGCGTCAGATGCTCCGAGGATGATCCAGAAGATAAAATGACAACATTAACTTGTAGGTATTAGGGTAGACCTCAAGGGACGACACCCCCACCCCTCCCCCCTCCCAAAACGTCGTGTTTGACTTACCAATGAGCCTTCCATGAGAGCCTCCTCATCTGTGTGGCTGAATGATGAGCCACATAAGTGCATAGAGAATATGTCATCTAAAACTTTTCTTTCTTGGACCACTGAGTCCCAAAATGGCAGTATAGATCTGTCCGGCTGAAACGATATCATTGGGCACATGTTAAAACATCAAAATGATTACATTTCAAACAATACGTTAACTTAAGCCCAAAACATTGTCAATGTTCACATATATTATATGTCAATATAAAAATTGTCTAAGTTATTAATTTAAAAATAATTAATTTCACAGAAATAAACTTTGAAATTTTTTATTACATTAATTAAATAGTTCAATATTAATCTTACAAAAGTAAGCTAAAATAATTTTAAATAATCAAGTTATACCCTTGAATTTTATCTCAATGATTATGTGTGACATGCTTATATAAGTGACATGCTCATATCAGTGACACAATCATATCTGTGACATGCTCATATCAGTGACATGCTCATATCAGTGACACAATCATATCTGTGACATGCTCACGTCAGTGGCATGGTTATATCAGTGTAAAGAAACTCATAAAAAAAGTGAGTCATACAAAAATACAATCTAATCAATGCTTACACTGTTGTCAAAATAAATTGATCTAAATTTAAGAAAATAATTAACAGTAACCTAAAAAAATAAATATGGTATACTTTTATAAAGACACTCTTCATCATAAATAGCGCAGAAAAATTATTATACAAAACATAAACTTCTACCTACAACTGAGAATGATACATATTATTTTACCCTATGACCTGTTAGTGGGAAAAATAGCTTTACTTTTAAAAAATTCAAAGAAAACTATAGCTATGTGGACGCTGGACTGCAGGCACAAAGCCTAAAGCTATGTGGACACTGGACTGCAGGCATAGAGCCCAAAGCTATGTGGACACTGGACTGCAGGCTCAGAGCCCAAAGCTATAGGGGCACTGAATTGCAGGCACAGAGCCTAACCTAACGCTATGTGACACAGGAAAGCATAAATAAAAGAAAACAAGATCCATCTCAAACAACTAAGAAAATTATAATACTACCAATGATAATTAAAAACCTAAGTCCTATTATACGTAGTTATATCTTGTGCTGTCTTTTTTAAAACCTCTCTCGAAATTGTTGTGCCCCCCCCCCTGTTTTCAAACTGGTTGTATGAGCAAAAATAATGCTCAACTACAAATACTTTTTCCCCAAGATAATCATTGCAATATACAACTGCCTAACATGTCTCCTGTTTCAATACTGGTAACACGTAGCAGCTGGACCTATGCACGGTTGACAAACACATATGCATTCAAGATGCTGGAGTTTCAATACTGTTACTTTTTGCGCATAAAGTATATACTCTGTTACTAAGAGCGAAGCATGACCTAACCAACAGTGAACACACATGCCATTCACACAGAGTACGAATATCACCAACCATTGACAACTGTGAATAGCCCAATCCTAAAATCCCCTGCCATTCTGCCTCAGGGATGAAGAAGTCCTTAGTCTGGGTGATGCAGGCGATGTGGGCCCTGGCAGAGATATTTGGTGATGAGGACACAGACACTATGTCAGTGCCAAGCACACCAGTCCATTGCCCCTCTGTATAAGCCACGTGAACCTCTGTACCAATTTGGACATAGGTGCTAGAGCTGTCAAATACATCATCATGGACTTAAGAACTCTTCTTTATTTGCATATGAACTCTATGTGTCTATATACTTATCTTGACATGAAGGAACCTACCACCATTATACTCCAATGTTTGTGGATAGTATGAATATTATAATTTTTAAGTGATTAGTAAATTCGTTTTGCAATATTAACCCACAAACTGTCCATGTTATTATTCTGCACTGAGCAGGCAATTAGAGCTTTTTGGGTGCCTTTGAAAAATGTGATTTTTTTACATGCAAATACTATCGCTGTACCCCATAAAGTATTTGTTTATTGAATTTAGACTGAGTGGGGAATCATATGGGGTATTTTTTAATGATATTAATATACTCTGTGACCTTGACCTTGGAGTGGCCAAGAATAAAGAAAATAATGCAATTTTTTTTTTTCAAACTACAATTTTTTAAAGGCATATTATTATTATGTTTATATAATATGATAGCACAGAGGTTCTTAACCTTTTTGGAGGTACCGAACCCCACCAGTTTTATATGCGCATTCACCAAACGCTTCTTAATAGGAAAAATAAAATGATTTTTTTTTTCTGATTTTTTTTGCACCTCCGCCAAACCCCTGAGACTGACTCACCGAACCCCTGAGACTGACTCACCGAACCCCTGGGGTTGGTTCGATCGAACCCAGGTTAAGAACCACTGTGATAGCATTTTTATTCCTCTTTCAGAAAATGTATTTTTTGTATTTGTTTTAGTTATTAATAGATTTTTTAAAAAATTCTGATACCTATGAGCATGTTCAAGTAACAAAGCATGATATTAACAATATAAACATTACTAAATGGCAAGAAACTGATAAAATTTAAAAAGCTGCTATATAAATATTTAATCCATAAAATACCGGTATAAGAAAGCATATATAGAACAACATCCAATTATTTTTTGTTGGAACACAATCATCTGCAACATAGTTTTGGACGAATCCTGTTGTTGGGGAAATGTCTACTCATTCTAGGCCTAGGTTTAAATCATCTGACTCTGAACTTTCGATTTCTGACCCACTAAAAAAATAATCAAAATTATCATTGTCTTTGTGTGTGATAGGAAAATCATCTTCCGAATCACTTAAGTCATTCACTAAAAATTTATCAGAAAGTTTCCTAACTGATTTATATTGTAAGCCAGATGGTCCAGCTATGGCCTCATCCATTTCGCGAAAATCTACTTACACAAATTTGTTTGATAAAGATCGATGTGAATATAACTTCAAAGTTTTAAAAAAGTACACAGAAGAGCGAAAAACTGAAGTCAGTGAAGTTCATTTATTAATAAAAGGAAGTAGTCTCATTTTGTGGACAAAATATTGGACTGGAAATTTTTCTATCAACACAATTTTTATCGTCTGATACAGTACAGGAAGAGAAAAATCGTCCGATTTGATCAGCCGTCGACAGTTTGTGGGTTAAGATATAGATGGATTCTAAATTACATATTCAATTTTTTTTGTTTAATTTGTAATTACCCTTTCTAACACACCTTGAAAATATAATTTTTTTAAAGTATTTACACAAATGCAGCTCTCTCTTATTTCACTCACTGTAAGTGATGGGTCCCCAAATATATTTACTAAAGACCAAAAAATTAATTTCTTCAATCCAACAGTGAGCTGAAGGTAGCAACTGTTGGAGCAGCAAACACAGAATTATTAATTAGACTAGGCCTTGAAAGACAACCCCATGTAAAGTCCAACAAACAATAGAATTACTTTTCTCTGTGAAAAAACTTCCGGACTTTTGGATCAAATGAAGCTGCTATGGCAAAGTTAGCGCTTCCAGTGTCAATTAAAACTTGCATCTGGTTGAAAAGGAAGATATTAATGTTAGGTTGCGCTTATTTTAAAACAAGTTCTCCTGTTAAACAATACCTTTCGCACACAAAAAAACAAACAACATCATTTGTTTCTGAAATTTGAAATGATGATTTATATTGCATAATGCACATTGGCTTTAACTGATTACTCAGATCAAAATTGTATAGTTCGAAAAATTTACAGTAAAAGAAGATTGAAGTTGCATCTAAGCAACAAGTATAAGACTTCTTGAAATGCTCAGGTTCAATCTAAAATCACTACCAGTATATACTTGCACACATTCTCTCAACAGTTACAAGACTTAGGTTCATTATCTCTTACAGTGCACATATTCTCTCAACAGTTTACAATACTAAAATGCTCACACTCATATTTAAACAGCACAAAATACTTACAGTTTGATTTGGGGTGCCAATGTTTAAATCTATATAGTATCCATCACCAGAGAATCCATTGAGATTGTTTTTCATGTCATTAAGATCTCCAGATGAGAGGTCACGCTGAACTATACGCAACTGACTCTTTAATGCAGCATTACTATCATCTTTGGCCATGACAACTTGGCTGTGAAATCTTCTAACGGGGAATCTGTAAACTACACCGGCGCATGAAGGCACCAGGGTGTGTAGCAGCAAAATAACTACACATGCAATGCTGAAATGACTTTGCATGCAATGCCACTTATACTGAACGAAAAGCCCAGCGATCTGAGAAATGAATGCTCTGATATCACAGTTTGAGAAATAAGGTGGTAACATTTTTTTATATAGGTTTTTGCAAAGGAAATGGAATGTTTCACCAGTATACTGTAATATTTATATATAATATTTTTAAAAAAATGCTTTTATTCTTTTTCAATCCTGTTTAAGTTTAAGAATAAAATTTTGATCATCTTTGTCATTGACATAGTATAAGTCTCATATTGTCTCTAAATTTGGTTAAGTTTTCAGCATTTAACCTTTGACCTTTACTGTCTTGAACTAAATTAATAAGAGATCGGTTCAAATATACTTTTATGTTAATTAATTCTCTATTTGATTTAGACAAGTTTGTAGCCAGCATCTGTACGAGATCATTGACAAGTTTGCAACAAGCTTCTGTAACAGATCACCTGAGAAAGAAATAGATGATTAAACTAAAAGTTAAAAACTGAACATAACAAAATATCTACTTCATATCCTGATCTCTATGAGAAGTAATACTAGTATGGGGGTGGGTGGTGTGAATATACATTTGTTTTTTTGTTGTTGTTATATAGCTGATTTTTAATTAAATAAATGGCTGTTTCAGATTTAGCGGCACACGTTGACTTTGTTAAGGTTAGACATTAGGATTGATTTAGGGTTCGGGTTAGGCTTAGGGATAGATTTAGGGTTCGGGATCGATTTAGGGTTCAGGTTAGGCATAGGGATCGATTTAAGACGTAAAAGTGCGCGCATGGAAATAAACGCAGGCCGCGTTCTCTAAATTTACCAAATAAATGTATGATATTTTTTAATGTCATGATAATGTTTGCTAATATTTTTATGTAAAGCCCAGTGAGCCCAGCCCTAAGCCACTAACGATAGCAATAATAATAATAATACCTTATAATATTAAAACAAACACCCAATAAAGTCTGTACATAATTATTTATATATTCTTAATGCACATAATGATATTAATTTTTTTTTTAAATAACAAAACTTATATGATATGTGTTTATATTTCCTCTCAGTTAACTTTGCAAAATCGATTTCTTCAGTAAATTGAATGAATAACAAACATATATATTATTTTTTATATTATAGGCTGCGGCTATTCGGACCCGGGTCCGAGAAGTGAGTTTGGGTTTATTAAAAAATATTTTAAAATTATTATAGGGTTTGTAAGACAAAATTAGGTATCAAATGAAAGATAATTGAATGGACTATATTTTTTGTTAACTTAATTCTTCAGTTTAACTAAAATAAACTACAACAAATGATGTCCGAATAGCATTTAGTCAAAATGGACCCGAAAAAGCAGCGCCGCTATTCGGACCCGAGTCCCTTTATAAAATTTTTTTTAAATTAAAAAAAATTGAATTTATAATAACAATTATAATGAGAGTATACTCTCAGTATACAGTATGTGGTTATGTACTATGTCAAACAACATAGCCATGCCATATCTTAAAATTTTAAAAATTCATTTTTGAGAAAAGCATGCTAGCTATAATTAATTAATTATAAATTTGACTCTAATTCTAATAATACTACAACTAACTACTAGTAACTAGTCTTAGTACTAGTAACAATCTGCCACTAAACAAAGGGGAGGCCACTGATCAGAACCTGGGAGCGATTCGTTAACTTAAGTTAAGCGTTGAGTATATTGACAAAATGCATTTTTTGGGTAAATTCAGAGAACGCGGCCCGCGTTTATTTCCATGCGCGCATTTTTATGTCTTAAAATCGATCCCTATGCCTAACCTGAACCCTAAATCGATCCCTATGCCTAACCCGAACCCTAAATCTATCCCTATGCCTAACCCGAACCCTGAATCTATCCCGGCCTAAGCCGAACCCTAAATCAATCCCTATGCCTAGCCTTAACAAAGTCAACGTGGGCCGCTAAATCTGAATCAGCCCTTTTTTGTAGCTCTATTTTGTGAGTGAAAAATGAAATGACTAGTAATAGTAATAGTCGTGATAATGAATATGATTTGCAAAAGCTTCAAACTTGAAATAATTGACAATGATGACAATTCCAGCGCCAACGGCCCAACAAAAAACTTCAAAGTTAAGTATTGTTAATAACTTATTTACGTTTTTTTTAAGTTTAGTCTTGTCTTAGTCTTAGTCAGTTAAAATAAGACTAATAATAATAATAACCATACTATCATAAATTAAGTTAAGTGTCTGTCTAAAGTTACGAAACTAAAGCCTTGGGTATGGAAGTTAATGAAAGGATATTCTAGACTTTAAAAAATACTGGTATTCTTTACCGAAAATCTGTTATTTCCTTGACCAGTATTCATAAGTAGCAGAATGACGGCCATGACTAAACTATGAAAGGTCAGAGGTAGCTGACTGCGCTTAAAAAATTAAAATCCTAATGGTAAAACAATAACAATATGAAACGAAACAAGTACAGAAGGTTAAAAATAAGCCATGACTGACCTAGATTTTGAGAATTAGAAATAGCACACCCGGAACATATCTGTATCAGGAAAAAAAATCTTGGTCCATCCCACTTATTTAAGTGCTAACGGAGCGAGTCAACATTTTTCAACAAACTTCTGCAGTTAGCCGACCATACCACCCCTCCTTATAAAGGGAAAACCGTTCCGCCCATGGCGGACCGCCTGTACCCCTTTCCTACGCCCACTGCATTCGTGACCGCTACTTTTCACTTCATGCCATTGTGTGGAACACATTTCTCATTTTCTCTAAAGGCTAAACCATTCCTGAATTGTAATACTTAAACTAAACCCGCCTGGTATTGTCTCAAAATATCCCGTCCCGGACTGGGTGTGAAAAATTGCACCACAAAACTGGTGTTGGATTATCATTAATGATTTCATATGATCTGGTGCAGCAGAGCCGTCGCTTGACTTGTGGAGGCCCCCAACCACTTTTCTGATTTGTGTCCCTGCATTCAAAGTCGATAGCTCAAATCGTTTACAACATTACAACTTTGGGCCCCATTAAATATCAGAAGCTCCTTACAGCCGCAGGGGTTGGAATGGTTGCAGGGCCCACGCGACGGCTCTGACTGGTAGAGTTGTCCTACCTTGACAGACAGACTGATTTTAAAAAAACAACACACCCTTAGCAGACCAACACACTATTAGACCTGGAGTGGCGAACCCTCGGTCCGCCTTTTCATTTATTGCGCCTCGGGATTTTGCTTTTATCACACAACACGTATACTTAAGTCATCCAATTGACAAAGAATTTTAATTTGAATTAAAGAGAGAATAAAAAAATAAAATGGTATCTATTAGTTTAGTTGCCGTCTGTTGTATTCGATGGCAGGACAAAATGCCTCACTTTGAAGTTTTGGAATATGCCAAAATGTGTAGGGACTGTAGGATGTTCTCCGCTCTTAGCAAGAGGCGCCTTATCTGGTTGGGCCATTTAATGAGAGAAAAAAAAGAGGAAGGCCGTAATTCAGAGACTATGCTGTATGGAGAGTTGACAGAGGGGGCAAGACTTATTAGACGCCCGGGGCGGATAATTAAGTACGTTTGTAAAAGAACACGAAGGAAGCCAACATAGAAATCAATGAATGCTAGATCATCGATGAGCACCGTTCCAGCTGGCGAAAATCAGTGTGTGATGGAATTAAGCAGTGTGTGATGGAATCAATGAGTGTGTGATGGAATCAATGAGTGTGTGATGGAATCAAGCAGTGTGTGATGGAATCAAGCAGTGTGTGATGGAATCAAGCAGTGTGTGATGGAATCAAGCAGTGTGTGATGGAATCAAGCAGTGTGTGATGGAATCAATGAGTGTGTGATGGAATCAATGAGTGTGTGATGGAATCAAGCAGTGTGTGATGGAATCAATGAGTGTGTGATGGAATCAAGCAGTGTGTGATGGAATCAAGCAGTGTGTGATGGAATCAAGCAGTGTGTGATGGAATCAAGCAGTGTGTGATGGAATCAATCAGTGTGTGAGAAATGGATATTATGACTTCAGTACACTTCGGTATTTTAATATGGATGATCATGTGTATGTGTAAAAAGTTTGGTCAAGATCCATCTATTCATGTAGGAGTATTAAGCATATTGATATTTAAATGACATATATAAGAAAAATGACCTTGGCCCCCTGGCCCCAGAGAAATGGATATTCTGAGTTCAGTACCCTCCGGTATTTGAATATGGATAATAAAGTATATGTGTACTAAGTTTTGTCAAGATCCATCTACTCATGTCGGAGTATTTGTTTCTAATTATTTTTATATAGCTCATTTAAGGAAAAAAACGAATTCGGGGCCCCCTTGCCCCCAACGGAATGTTATAAAAAGTACATAACCCCTTAAGATTTCCTTGTGGATAATGATTAATATATGTGCCAAGAGTTTGGTCAAGATCAATCCATCCATGTAAAAGCCTGTGTGGAACAAACAAATCCACAAACCCACAAACAAAATTTCACTTATATATATATATATATATATATATATATATATATATATATATATATATATATATGATAAGATATGATATGATATGATTATGTCTTAACCGTTATGTCCAAACGTCAGTTAAGCGAACTTTCAGCTTCATCGCTTGATAAGAAAAGTGTTGATAAAATTCTAAACGGAATGGCTTAATGAATTTTTGCACGCAGCACTACCAGATTCGTCGTCAGAGCGGACTGTCAAGCTGGGGATATTTTTAAATATCAGGAAATTGATGATGATTTTGTCTGTGAAATGTGCTTCAAAGCTAATGCAGGTGGTGATTTCTCCACAGGGAAAAGGTGGGAGGCTTGAAAGCTGGATTATCTTAAACGACATATCAATGAAATAAAAAATACACACAGATGCTGTACAGAGACTTGGTTCTATACAGTCAGGAGGGGTGCTGCTAATGCTTACAGAAAGAGTCGCTGATCGAGGCATGAGACAAGAAGCAGCACAACGTAAAAGTGCTAAAGAAGCCCAGGTTAAAATTTTGATTGACGACATCCTCTTGGCTATCAACATGAACACATCTATGAACGCGGCTCAATACATACACAACCATCTGGCTAAGTATGCCCAAGTCCCTGATAGCTGGCGCAGTAAGATTTACGCTTTTGAGTTTGTTGATTCTATCGAT